ACACATTAAATGGCCTGGCCGGGCCCGTGTGCGAAATACGCACGCATCAGTCGGAAAGCGCACGTTAAATCTCCAAAGTAAGTAAGTAAGTACACACAGGGCAGGTGTTTTGAAATCCTCAGCCTAAGTGATTATATGGCGCTTCGTTCAGCTGTCGACCCGTATAAACACATCAACGCCGTTGTGTGTACGATACTACGAATATCGACCGAAAAAACGAACAGTTCAGAGATGTTGAGTGTTCGACCTGCCATGGATTTAGCACGGTATGTCGGCAGTATTGCACAGTATGACGGAAGTAGAGCACAATATGACGGCAGTTCTTCCCCGGGCAATGTTTGGCCAAAGCCAGTTATTATCCCGGTAATATTTGGCCAAGGCCAGTTATTCTCCGGGCAATGTTTGGCAAAGGCCAGTTCTTATCCGGGCAATGTTTGGCCAAGGCCAGTTGTTCCCCGGGCAATGTTTGGCCAAAGCCAGTTATTTTCCCGGTAATGTTTGGCCAAGGCCAGTTATTCTCCGGGCAATGTTTGGCCTAGGCTAGTTATTCTCCCGGTAATGTTTTGCCAAGGCCAGTTATTCTCCGGGCAATGTTTGGCCAAGGCCAGTTGTTCCCCGGACAATGTTTGGCCAAAGCCAGTTATTTTCCCAGTAATGTTTGGCCAAGGCCAGTTGTTCCCCGGACAATGTTTGGCCAAGGCTTGTTATTCTCCCGGTAATGTTTTGCCAAGGCCAGTTATTCTCCGGGCAATGTTTGGCAAAGGCTTGTTATTCTCCCGGTAATGTTTTGCCAAGGCCAGTTATTCTCCGGGCAATGTTTGGCCAAGGCTAGTTATTCTCCGGGCAATGTTTGGCCAAAGCCATTTATTCTCCTGTTAATGTTTGGCAAAGGCCAGTTATTCTCCAGGCAATGTTTGGCCAAGGCCAGTTCTTCCCCGGGCAATGTTTGACCAAAGCCAGTTATTCTCCCGGTAATGTTTGGCCAAGGATGGTTATTCTCCGGGCAATGTTTGGCCAAGGCCAGTTATTCTCCCGGTAATGTTTGGCCTAGGCCAGTTATTCTCCAGGCAATGTTTGGCCAAGGCGAGTTATTCTCCGGGCAATGTTTGGCCAAGGCCAGTTATTCTCCGGGTAATGTTTGGCCAAGGCCAGCTCTTCCCTGGGCAATGTTTGGCCGAGGCTAGCTATTCTCCGTGCAATGTTTGGCCAAAGCCAGTTATTCTCCCGGTAATGTTTGGCCAATGCCAGTTATTCTCCGGGCAATGTTTGGCCAAGGCCAGTTATTCTCCGGGTAATGTTTGGCCAAGGCCAGTTTTTCTCCCGGTAATGTTTGGCCAAGGCTAGTTATTCTCCGGGCAATGTTTGGCCAATGCCAGTTCTGTTCTGTTCTGTTCTGTTATTCTGCCGTGTGTTGGGTGTCATTCCTGATTTTGACACTTGATTCAGTGATGATTTACTTGATTTCATTCATTTGTTAACAAGCGGGATGTCTACGGGCTATTTGAATGTCAAAGCCGGCAGAAGTCAGCGTGCTGTGGCCAATACGTTAAATGTTGCGAGTCTGCGATTAGCAGACAATGTAACAGGAACCATCAAACACAAAATGTTGACTATCGACCCCATTCAGGACATCCCAAGTCAATGGCAAGAGATTGATCCGAAACCAGGCTCTCAGACGGTGAATCAAACTGCTGTATACATTCATCAGGCTCCTGGAGTACGCGTTACAGGTCAGGGTATATATGTTAAGGTCGTCTGCTGTTACGAAGGGGAACAACTCTAATATTTCGAATCTTCCGTGTTTCCACACAAGAGAGTTACTATTTTTGCCGATGAGGCTTGTCGCTGTATTTGCTATTCAAACCATAACACCCAGACCTCCACAAATCGTCTACATGCTGCTCATCTCCATCCTCGAAGGCCATATGTTGTGCTTCCCCTTAAAAATCGTTGTATTGCCGACGATGTCATACACCACGTAAAACTGGAGTAATCTGTCATGTTTTCACTTTGCGCTTCCTTGGCGTGGTCTTGTCTGGTGACGTCGAAATGAAAGTCAAGCCGATGTCAACCGGAGACCTCATGACAGATTTGGCAGTGGGTCAGTTATGGTGTGGGATGGCATCATTATGACAGAGCAAACCCCACTCCATATCGTGCAAGGAAGGGTCACTGGACAGTACTATCGGGACACTGACACCCTTTCTTGTCCCGATTGCAAGGGGGTGGGTCAACGTTTTTGACTTTCAGGATGACAAGGCCCGTGCTAACGGTGGACGAATCATCAACGCTCACCTCCAGCACCAAACCTTTCCCTGATTGGACACGTCCAAGTCATGATAGAGAGACGTGTTTGTCAACGTCATAGGCGGTCGACCATGATGGTTGCACATCGCCAGGCTCCCCCATATCGCCACTGGGCGACTCACATGCAGTGTGCCTCATCCCGTGAATGATAGGGTGATGTGTTTGTCAACGTCATAGGCCGTCGACCATGATGGCTGCACATCGCCAGGCTCCCCCATATCGCCACTGGGCGACTCACATGCAGTGTGCCTCATCAATGAATGATAGGGAGATGTGTTTGTCAACGTCATAGGCCGTCGACCATGATGGCTGCACATCGCCAGGCTCCCCCATATCGCCACTGGGCGACTCACATGCAGTGTGCCTCATCGCGTGAATGATAGGGAGATGTGTTTGTCAACGTCATAGGCCGTCGACCATGATGGCTGCACATCGCCAGGCTCCCCCAGATCACCTCTGGGCGACTCACATGCAGTGTGCCTCATCGCGTGAATGATAGGGAGATGTGTTTGTCAATGTCATAGGCCGTCGACCATGATGGCTGCACATCGCCAGGCTCCCCCATATCGCCACTGGGCGACTCACATGCAGTGTGCCTCATCGCGTGAATGATAGGGAGATGTGTTTGTCAACGTCATAGGCAGTCGACCATGATGGTTGCACATCGCCAGGCTCCCCCAGATCACCTCCGGGCGACTCACATGCAGTGTGCCTCATCGCGTGAATGAATGTTTGACAAATTGCACTGCTGATCCAAAAACATAATTTTCAAAACATCTACTGTCATAATTTACTACCGATTGTATTGTGTTCTCAATTCGTATGTTATTATCATATACCTATTACAAGAAACTGATATCACTTAAATTTTGGACATTTAAGTCATTTGTGAGTATCACCTACTTAATGTTTTCAGACTACGTATTACCTAGACTAAGTCTTCCTGTTAATAACATTTCATACAGTATCTACTATGGGTATAGTTTAACTAGCCTTAAGCCACATCTGGGGAGCCCCTGCAGAACATGAACATATCGAGATGCCAGATATTATTTTGCAGATATTATTTTGCCGGACAGCAACCTGAAATTCAGTCAGAGGAAACTGTATAAGAACTAGTGTCCTTGATTTTGTTGTTGAATATTTAGCATCATTATTTCTTCGTCTCAACACCTATATATATATATATATATATATTGATATATATTGATATATATTGATATATATATATATATATATATATTGAGTAAGCTCCTCCTCTGTCCAGAGGGGGCACGGGTGGCCCAGTCGTCTAAGGCACCGCGATTCGCTGTGCAGAGTTGCGTCCCTAGAGCACACCAGAAACCTATGATTGTGGGTTTCGAATCCCGGTTCGCCCCGATTATGTTTCTAGGTTTGTCAGCACCATACCCGTGCTCGTGGGTTTCACCGAAGTGGTAAACGTCTGAGACCTGCATCACTTCGGGCTTTCATCCCACATTAAGCTGACACGCCGCGATATAACTGGAATACTGTTAAAAGGGGCGTTAAACCAAACTCACTCACTCACTCCTCTGTCCAGGGGGATGTTTCATTTGTGACACTGGTCCGTTTCACTGGGGACATTTTAGACATAACCCACTAACATAGAAACCATAACACCAGAGGCTGCTCCAAATAGGACTCTGAGTACAGGAGGTAGATCATCTCAGGACAGAAAACATTTTTTGAAGATTTGAAATTTATTGTCTGATCTCACACACACACGTCACACACTTGTAGATATGTGCACACATTCTAAAACCACATGCAGCTGGCTCCCCTTCTGCAATGCGATCTCAGCCCTACGTCTTTTGCAAGTCTATGTTAAAGTATGAGAGTTAAGACCGTCTTAGCGCTAAGATCGCTTTTTGGAATGGGGTACTGAAATGCACTTCATTATAACATGATTATTTGCATAATAACAAACCAAAACTAGACTTTAACATGTTTAAAGTTTAAGACAAACGAGACACTTGTTTAACAGTAGGAGAAAAGGAAAGGACCAATAGCCCAAATTTCATTTCCTGAATACAACAAGCCTAACTCTTGTCAGATTTGTAGGGGTCATAATATGAAATGAGCCATGTTGGATGATTCACAAGAAGGTGATATGCAAAAACATGGCTGTTGTTAAAATGAAATATCTCAGCTACATCAACTGACCAAAAGCTAACCCTTTCTATCCTAATAAAGGACTTGTTCCATTGATACAAAATAACAAAGATATTGTTGTTTTTAATGTCAAGATTTTTTCCCCATAACTCCTTATCTTGTGAAGTATGTTCACTCAAGATGTACTGGTGTAGTGTGCAAAAAAACACTCTGACTTATATAGGTCACATGTTCTTTTTGGTGTTCCAGTCTTTGAGCAGCACTTGATGACTTCCTTCAAGATACAGGCACCTGTTCTCATGGAGAAGCGGGGAGATGTGGAACCACCCTGCTTGTGTAACATACATTATTGTACAATGACTAGGATTGGATTCTGTAGTCTGATTGCTTGAAAAGTGTTAAATGCATTTGAGCCCGGAAATTTTTCGAACATTTCACTTTGGATGAATGCTTTGAATAATATATATCCTTTTCTCTCAATCCCACAGTTGAAGCAAACGTGCACGTCATCATGGCAAAATGGATACAACATTAACTCAAACTTGATTTACTTGCTTTACCAGTTTCTGTTTACCAGGTGAGCTCGAATTCAGTCGTCCCGGAAGAATATGACTCCATACATTGTATCATTGCATGTTCCAGCATGGCTTTGTATCATTCCATAGCGGCGTCCATTGTCTCACAATGGTGAGAGATGACATAGACATGATAGAGAGACAGTACTTTGAAAAACTACCAATAACCTTTGCATTTACAATGCAAATAACAAAAATGTGTTTTCAGATTTACGTACTGGATGGCGTCAGATGTTAATCGCCTGCGAGACGTTCAGCAATGACCATTCCATAAACGCAAATATGCCTTGACATGAACAGTTTCTCTCTACATTTGGAGTTTCCAGTGCTTGGTGACTTTGTACAAAACAACCTTAGCGCTACGAGTGTCGTAAGTCTGTGTTAAGGTATGGGAGTTATGATCACCTTAGCGCTAAGATCGCTTTGTACAACGGCACCCTGGTAAACACTTCTCCCCAATATGATAATTCACACAGTTTTGTCGTTCCACCAGCTACAGCTTCTCTCCATCTTCCTTGCTGCTTGCCTCCTGGGCAGAGATCATCTGAAGAAGAGACAGGACCGTTACATTCCTTTGTGAGTGGGTGAGTGAGTGAGTTTGGTTTTACGCCGCTTTTAGCAATATTCCAGCAATATCACGGCAGGGGACACCAGAAATGGGCTTCACACATTGTACCCATGTCGGGATTCGAACCCGGGTCTTCGGCATGACGAGCGAATGCTTTAACCACTAGGCTACCCGACCGCCCACATTCCTTTGTGTGGAATACTGATACACGATGTATTGCTTTCAGTATGCTCTAAGGTATGGATTTGGTGCATTATCAATATACACAGTATTATCATTATTATCAATTAAAATACATTAATAAAAATAGTGAGTTGTATGCTGCTTTTAGCAATACTCTATCAGTATCACAGCAGGGGGCACATAAAATGGGCTTCACACATTGTACCCATGTGGGGAATCAAACCCAGGCCTTCAGTGTGATGAGCGAACATTTTAACCACAAGGCTACCCAACTGCCCCATACTATTAACAGGATAAAACATAGCATACTGATTAAAGTTCATTCTATGAAGTAATACCTGCTGGCTGTAATGACAAGTTAAATGCTAGTGTTATTAAAAAATAATCTCTTATTTTCCATTCATCTCCGAGAGCCTAGATGGAGGGGCTACAATTGTAGCAAATCAGAGACTGCAACATTTACACCTGCTGAAATACCTGAAGAAAACTGATGACACTGACAGGTTTCTGATATGAGCGGTCAGTATATACTAGTCTCCAGATGTGGTCTTCCAATGAATCAGTTCATAATGTTTGTTTGTTGTTTAATGCTGCACATAGCAATATTCCAGTTATATGATGGCAATCTGTAAATATTAGAGTCTGGTTGGTTGGTTTGTTGTTTTACGCCGCACTCAGCAATATTCCAGCTACCGGGGTATATGACGGCGGTCTGTAAATAATCGAGCCAGGACCAGACAATCCAGTGATGGATATAATGAGCATCGATCCACGCAATTGGGATAGATGACATGTATCAACCAAGTCAGCGAGCCTGACCAACCGATCCCGTTAGTCGCCTTTTATGACAAGCATAGTCGCCTTTTACGGCAAGCATGGGTTGCTGAAGACCTATTCTACCCCGGAATCTTCACGGGTCTATTAGAGTCTGGACCTGATAATCCAGTGATTGACATCATACACATCGATTTATGCAAATGGATTATGATGACAGGCATTAACTGTCTGACCACCCGATCCTGATAGTCACTTCTTACGACAAGCATGGGTTGCTGAAGATCAATTCTGACCCAGATCTTCACTGGCCAAGTTCTTAATGAAAGAAACACCAACATCAAATCTAGAAATAAAAACTTGCAATGCAAAAAATGATCAATTCTAAACCCTGCCAATTTCTGCAGTTAAGACGGGCCGGGTGTTTTCCATGTCTTGTACCCAAACACCCAAATTAATGTTGTAAAGTTGATACAATTAAGGCGGCAGTTCACGTAAAAAAACAAAAATCTACTCTAAAACACAATACATGTCTCCCAGGGTGGCAATCAGAAAGAAAGTGATGTGGCAGCAGTGTCCAAAATAACTGACTGCCCGCCTCCCCGTGGCTGGTAACTTTTCTGTTGGGCTGCATGAAACAATTATATCAAACACTGTGTGACAGGGGTTGTCAGGTGATCATATCGTGTTAGGTCACAACACAGAGGATTACAGTGTGTGACCCATTCATTGGGGTGATGAGGGGTGGTCGGGTAGCCTAGTGGTTAAAGTGTTTGCTCGTCACGCTGAAGACCTGGGTTCGATTCCCGACATGGGTAAAATGTGTGAAGCCCAATTTCCGGTGTCCCCCACCGTGATATTGCTGGAATATTGCTAAAAGCTGCGTAAAACAATACTCACCCATTCATTGGGGTGATGACCATGGCGATGCTGGTATGAGTTTGGGTGAATTGTTTTTAGAAACGGGAAACATTTTTCAAATACGTTTCCACAAAAGGATCGAAAGAAGAATGAAGAAATGCGTAGTGTGAGATAGGATAAGTTTAAATATGTGGGTTTTTTCACCCTACCGACTATAATATTTACTGATCACTTGCAATATTATTCATATTTTAATTTCAATCAACTATCCCGTTTCTAAGAAAAAACATTGTAAACTATACAAGAAACACAAGGACTTAAAAGGGAACAAAAATGTTGCGCAGAGAACGGAGAACAAAAGCACTTCTATACTAGTACACAGTGATGAACTTCAAACTCCGTCAGAGCAGTTATGAACATGATGAAAGAATCTGATGTCTTCCTTACTACTGATGTCTTTGTCATCAAACATAAGATACCTGCGAGATAAATCGCAAAGAACAATGAAGAACGAAGCATGTTTTTTTTCACGATAAAACATTGCTCTATCATGACGTCATTTGACGATTTGAACATGAGCTTGCAACTTGATGACGTAGTAAATTGGACAACTTTTTTTAAGGGGGAGTATCTAGTGAGTTGTTCTCCATGGCAGTAGCTGGACAGCGCTGATGAACGCAATGGCCGAACGATCGCACCCAGAAGTGAGAGAAATTTGACTGTCGGTATTGGGAGAAAAGGTACAGATAATGAACGTGACAATTTTGAACATACCAAACTTAAACCCCCTGTACATAAAATGGAGTTGCATTCAGGGAGTCATCATCATATAAATGCAGCTTGCACGTTTTATAAAAATCCTTAGAAATGCTTAGAAAATGGTGATATTTCTTATTGATAAACGACTTGTGGTTGTTGTTTATCGTACAGTAAAACACTGCAGGGGGAATAAACCATTCTCTCTGCAGTGTTTTACTGTATGATACTCAACGACCACAAGTCGTTTATTTCTTAATGAAAGCAGCCAGTCCAGAGCTTACCTCTGCATGTTCATCTACTGAACGAAGCCGAGCATTTTCTGTCTTCAAGATCTCTGTAGTCTTGTCAAACAGATCCTCTGGCTGGACTCCCTTTTCCTGAAGGTCGAAGTACTTCTCCACAAACCTATGTCAGAAAGATGAACATGAGTGAATGAGGCGTTGCCATGGATACACACTGCAGTCAGCAACAACAGGACATACAGGAAGCACACAACATGCACAAGTGGCTGATGATGTGAGCATCCACGCCAGGTCTGCTGCAATATGTCCATTCAACTACCATTATGGAATAACTGTAACCATGGTAACATGACTGCTGTTTTACGCAGCAGTTGGCAAAAAGACAGCTAAAGAGTTGTTGGATGTAAAAGCTTGCAAACATAAGTTCTGATATGCTAATTTAATGAAATGCTATTTCCTATTTCATGAATATATTGGCAAAACACAGATATTTATGGCATGATGGGAGCTAGTGAATATCCTGCAATTTAAACAGATTGGTGATAGGAGATGATGTGAGAGATGACAGTAATCAATTCCAAGCGAGAGGTTCCAGTGACAATGCTGTAAACTTTGATAAGGACAAAATGATACATGGTCTGCCAGGTCACCAGAAAGTGAGTGAGTATGGTTTTACGCCGCTTTTGGCATTATTACAGCAGTATCACGGCGGGGGACACCAGAAACGGGCTTCACACGTTGAACCAATGTCGGGTCTTCGGCATGACGAGCGAACACTTTAACCACTAGACTACCTGACTGTCCCCTGTCACCAGAAAGTGATATCAGCAATATTTCAGCCATATTGCAATGATGCAGACACCAGACACCACATAAATTTAATAATATTTCCTTCACCTGAAATGACAAGTTTATGAAAAAGTGGTGCAGAGTTAAACAGTGCAAGTATAAAGTCGGAAATATTCCCGCAATATCACTGCGGCATGTTTGTAATTGAATACAGAATGTCCGTAGTACCGTAAATCCTTGAATAAACACCTGATTGGAATAAGCGCCTGCCTTGCATAAACGATAGGTCCAACGACCGTCTGCCATGCATAAACGCTGGGTCAAACGACCGTCTGCCATGAATAAACGATGGGTCCAACAACCCTCTGCCGTGAATAAACGCTGGGTCCAACGACCCTCTGCCATGAATAAACGCTGGGTCCAATGACCCTCTGCCGTGAATAAACCCAGGGTCCAATGACCTTTTGCCTTGAATAAACGCTGGGTCCAACGACCCTCTGCATTGAATAAACACTGGGTCCAATGAACCTCTGCCTTGAATAAATGCTGGGTCCAACGACCTCTGCCTTGAATAAACGCTGGGTCCAACGACCCTCTGCCTTGAATGAACGCTGGGTCCAATGAACCTCTGCCTTGAATAACGCTGGGTCCAACGACCCTCTGCCGTGAATAAACGCTGGGTCCAACAACCCTCTGCCGTGAATAAACGCTGGGTCCAATGACCCTCTGCCTTGAATAAACGTTTGGTCCAACGACCCTCTGCCTTGAATAAACGCTGGGTCCAATGACCCTCTGCCTTGAATAAAGGCTAGGTCCAACAACCCTCTGCCTTGAATAAACGCTAGGTCCAACGACCCTCTGCCTTGAATAAACGCTAGGTCCAACAACCCTCTGCCTTGAATAAACGCTAGGTCCAACAACCCTCTGCCTTGAATAAACGCTAGGTCCAACAACCCTCTGCCTTGAATAAACGCCGGGTCCAATGACCCTCTGCCTTGAATAAACGCTGGGTCCAACGACCCTCTGCCATGAATAAACGCTGGGTCCAACGACCCAGGCTGCAAATTTAGTTACGTCCTGCTCCCTTTCCCTACCAGTCAATATCTGTAAGGATCCATGCCCTATACCAGATCAGCTTGGGAATACAGAACATGAAACAACACAAAACTTTGACGTAAAAATCTCCTTCTGAAAACACGAAATACCTGCCTTGAATAAACACCAGGTCTTGGGACCTTCCATATAAATAAACACCGGGTCTTGGGACCTTCCATATAAATAAACACTGGGTATCGAGACCTTCCATATAAATAAACACTGGGTCTTGGGATCTTCCATATAAATAAACACTGGGTATCGAGATCTTCCATATAAATAAACACTGGGTATCGGGACCTTCCATATAAATAAACACCGGGTATCGGGACCTTCCATATAAATAAACACCGGGTCTTGGGACCTTCCATATAAATAAACACCGGGTCTTGGGACCTTCCATATAAATAAACACCGGGTATCGGGACCTTCCATATAAATAAACACCGGGTCTTGGGATCTTCCATATAAATAAACACTGGGTATCGGGACCTTGCATATAAATAAACACCGGGTATCGGGACCTTCCATATAAATAAACACCGGGTATCGGGACCTTCCATATAAATAAACACCTGGTATTGGGACCTTCCATATAAATAAACACCGGGTCTTGGGACCTTCCATATAAATAAACACCAGGTCTTGGGACCTTCCATATAAATAAACACCAGGTCTTGGGATCTTCCATATAAATAAACACTGGGTATCGGGACCTTCCATATAAATAAACACCGGGTATCGGGACCTTCCATATAAATAAACACCGGGTCTCGGGATCTTCCATATAAATAAACACTGGGTATCGGGACCTTCCATATAAATAAACACCGGGTATCGGGACCTTCCATATAAATAAACACCGGGTATCGGGACCTTCCATATAAATAAACACCGGGTCTTGGGATCTTCCATATAAATAAACACCGGGTATCGGCACCTTTCAAAACAAACCTTCTACACACAGACTTACTTCTGACATGTTGTCTTCACAGACTCATTGCCCAGGTCCACCACATCGGTGTTACCAAATGTGTTATAGTACTTTCTGAAAGAATAAAATAGAGGTCAAAATTAAGCATGCCAGTCGAGGGGTCACAACGATTAAATATGTCCATGCATTCAAATACTATACAGGAAACCTCAAGGACCCATGACCCCCATCAAACTCTAACAGTAACGGTGTAAATGTTATTTTTAATGTTAAAGCTGACATGGCACAGCAGTCTGGTGCCATTTCCTGTTCTCATCCAGACATTGTAAGTAGGTGATTTTTGTACTGCTAGAACGAATCATGCTACAAAATTTGAGATATTAATAAGAGTAAACAGTTATTAGAATAAACTGTTGCAAAAAAGTTAAAACTGAAGTTTTAAGAATCCGGTACTATTGGTATTAAATATTATGATAAATCACCCATCATCAGAACTTAACAAGTTTCTGCACACGACGTTCCTACCTCCCCCGAATACATATGGCAGCGATAGAAACTAACTGTTTTAGTCCACTGATCCTTATAACATATAGCAAAACCCTTAATAATGGCAAATATCTACGAGTCCTTATGATACCTCAAAAGGACAGGATGTGGACCGTTCTGAAGCTTTGTTTGTAAACAATAACGCAAGCTTACTGCCAGATGAAACCAGTTTACTCTGCACAGCACTTGCTTTGTCAGCTTCACTGTGCAGAGCTCTATTGTTTTTGTTTGAGAATAGAATGGGCCACGTGAAGTCACAATTGGAAATTATTTCATGGATGATTTGAAAACACAGAAGTGTCAACATACTGTCCCTTCACCTATGGGCAGTTTGGCAAGGGCTAGTGCCAATTTCTAATGCTGTATGGCCTTAGGCTTGGACGGGTAACTCGGGTACTCGGGTCGGGTGGGTACTGAGTAGGACCCGGGTACCCACAGGACTACCCGGACCCGTGGTTAGTCACGTGATTATATTGTTTAATGACAAAAATTATCTATTATCATGTGATTATACTCTATGGTTACACTATAAGTGACAAATGTTCTCATTTCTTTCCGACTATGCATACATTCCTTCTGACTTTATATGTTTGCATAAAGATAAAAACTTCAGTCAACTTCAGTGTATGCATGACCAGATCATTTTATACCTGTATCTAAATACATTTTGCCCCAGTACGATCAAACGTTTCCCAATCGGACATTTTGTACCTATAGCTATCTTCATCAAGTACCCGGGTAGGGTCGGGTAATAGGGGGGTGGGTACCCGGGTAGTAAATTTGGACTCGTCCCAGCCCTAGTATGGCCACTTTGTGGTGTAGTCGCTATTCCAGTGAGAGGGAGCCAGCAACTGCTCTGACCAGATTACATCCCACAACAGCAGTAGAAACTAACAGTTTTAGTCCACTAGGCCTTCTGATGATAACATATAGCAAAACCCTTAAAAATGGCAAATTTCTACTCGTCCTTATGATACTTATCTATTGGACAGTTTGGCAAGGACTACAGGACTAGTGCCAATTTCTAACGCTGCACAAACAATACTGTATCTCATGCAACATGTGCCACAGCCTCAGGCCATCTACTCCAGGTGTTTCTTCAATATCATAACATGGGGTTCGCACAAGGATCATTCACAGAGTAGGGCTCATTTGACTTTCAGAAATAGACACGTCACTACTACACAGCAAATCCGTTATATGCATTCACGTGTGATGGAGAAATGTAGAGCAACAAAGCCTGTAGAGTATTAACAATGGGAAACCTGTTACACTTTCTGACCTCTGGGTAATATTAAAGGGTGTCCGCCACTTACACTCTCACAAAGTCCTCCGGGTACAGAATAGGCCGGACTTTCTGTTCTGGAACTGGTCTCTCATGCATCGGCTCCTTCTGAGGGGGGAACGCTTCATACACAGACTTCCATACTGGGCAGTCCACCTCACTCAGTGCTCCAGACTTCAACAACCCCTGAAGCCTGGAAGATGTGATGGTTCATGGTGAATATTCAGGCCAAGACTGTAGCTTACCCGCATTTTGTAGATACCGTATTCGACGTAATAAGCGCCCTGCTCTAATAAGCGCCCACGGGGATATTTGCTAATATATTGGCTAGTGAACAATCCCATTTAGCACCCTTTCCGATTGATCAGTGTACACAACACTTATTTATTCGTGTATAATACGCACTCGTTTGTTATACATGTTATATGCACCCTTAATTATGGGCAATTAATTTCTAGAAAATATATCTATCGTGTATAAAACACACAGATTCTTCTTTTATATCATTTCAGGCTGTCAGCATAAACCACAAAATTTACAATCTTTCAACCTCATTTTAATCTCACCAAAATTATATTCTAATAAGAGCTCCCTATTTCTAATTTTAAGAACGCCCTGGGTGCTTATTTCGTCGAATACGGTATTTGCAAAATAGTAGATCATGTTGATGACATTACCAGAGTGAGTGAGTGAGTGGGTTGGATTTAAAACACATGTGTGACATCATTCTATTGTTTAAACGCACCATTATTTTTCAGGAATAGAGTTGTTTGTGAATTATACATTATCCTGAACCAACGTTTCAATTATTTTCACTTGGAAGAGATGGAACTATTTTTTAAATATTTTTTCAAGGGAATGATTTCATTTTGGGGGGAAAATGTGTCGCCAGTGGGGTTGAACCTGTATTGTTTGATTTGAGGATGTCTAATTGTCGACCTTAGCTACGGCAACACATGACAGTACAGTGTGAAGTTTACTGTTAAATAGTTACATAATCCTAAAAGATAAAAAAATAATAATTGTGTATGAAATGTTGTGTTCCAGCTAGTTATCTATAACAATGTTCATATTAAAGCAATTAGATAAACGAGAGAAAAAACGTCTGATAAACATATGTATACACCCTTGTTCATGGCTCTATTTTTCCTATAATCCCCGTCAGCATGTATTTAAAATGTGCAAGTAATTTATTAAATACTAGTTTAGGACCTCATGAAATTATGAAGAGCTGTGAACCATGATTTGTTAAGCTCAAGGTTGGAGCTTGAGGCACGTGCAACAGCGGCAGAGAGCGTATTGCTTGTGTATCATGCAAAGGCTCCCACAGGGTACCTGTTTGTATCCAGAAACGTACCTGGGGTACATATCTGTGCCAACAATGACCCCCTTCAGCATTAGTTAGGCTAGTGCAATACATCAATAAATAATCTACATACTAGTATCCGTTTTTACTAACTTTAAATAACAGGCTTGATCTATAAGTTAACACGCATGATAGACATAATAAACTAAATACACTCATCATCCTTGGAACGTAAAATGTGAAACATATTCTTTGTGATTACCCAGGCACAGCAACTCGTTATTGGTCAGTAAATGAAACATGTACACCCTATATGTAAGTAGATCTAGTCTACCTACTTAGGGTACATAGTTTATTTACTGATCAAAAACGAGTTCCCGTGTACCGAGCTGAACACGATGTAGGCCTAGCCTACATGAATCTCCCGGCATAGGATTCATAGGAAACAAAACCATTCATTTCTCATTTACAGTACCTTGAGTATATCGTTCCAAACTTTTCAATTCGACTGCCTGCCATGACTTTAATCAAACTGTAAGCATCGACTTTTTCATATCGAGTTCATCCAAACTTATCGTTTCATATGAGCACGCCGGGTCTGCAATTTGGAGTTATCTACCCTTGACCTTTCTGTGACCCTGGATAATGTTAAAAACTAATACTCTCCATCGAAGACAGATATATGCTCGTGGCATAAACTGATCATAATTTGAATGTCTTTTTAGACATATGATTTAAAAATAACTAAAGTTTGATCGTGTAATGTATATTCTTTTTCATACGAAATGTTCGTACCGTGCGCGACTGGAAAGTGAATACCAATTCTTATTTCGTTTCAGTATTTGTTACAGATTTTATGTAATTAAAGACTTCCGAAAGGAAGTTCTGTACTTTGTAACATCAGAGGAAAAGACGATCTCTGGTGTTTATGTGGATCTGAATAAGGTAGTGTTTGCGTTAAATGTTGTAGTTATTTATTGTTTATCTTTTTGTCTCCAATACATGAACACTTGATGTACACATGCTCCGTAATACGTGTAAATGGAAGTGTCATAACAAGCCCGGTTTGGCTGTCATCTGAATCACAGAGCAGGTGGCAGTTCGGTAAACAGTAGATCTATAACACTAAGGATTCAGTGGATTGCTCAGCCACTATTCTTCATAATTATCAGACCCAGCATTAACCAAAGAATCCTGGCTTATGTAGATATTTTCTCTATTATTGTCTTCTGTTTACTTTCACTATCATTGTCTATTATGTCAGATTCTCATCATAATTAGCCCATATAATCATGATTGTATCTCCTTATGAACTACGCTTATAAACCACCCTTGAAAATTTACTGAAATGGCCCACATCTAATGTGTAGAAAAATACACGGAGTGCCAAGTACCATCTTGCATGTCTAGCTGAGAGGATTGTGTTAGTCATGTTTATGTGTGCCAAGGATGCACCTTTAGAGTTCAGCACTACAATGTCTTGTGATAACAGTGGCAGTCAGGTAGCCTAGTGGTTAAAGAGTTCGCTCGTCACGCCACGGTGTCCACCGCCGTGATATATTGCTGGAATATTGCTAATGGCATAAAACCATACTCACTTATACTAACTCACTTCTTGTGATAACGTTGTGCAGTAGGTAACATGTCACTGAGACAGGTTTTGGTGAGAATCCATCGTACTCGAAATTATGACCTTCAGATTGTTAGCTCAAAAAGGTATGACTGAGCTACATGCACACTGATAAACTGAGAGACATGTGACCTACAGCAGAGATCGTCACCAGAAGTTGTATTCTAAAGGTGCTCCATTTTTCTGGTCATGCCTAAACAGCTACCGAAATGGAGACAGACCCTCACGAAGGTTACAGGTAGCCTTGGTGTATTGTGACTTTAGTCTATTGAGACTTACAAGTGATCCAGCTGCCATTTGGCATCTTGTCCAGTTCCGTAATGGTGAGATATGAGCTCATGTGGCGCAAACTGAAAACGGCTGCTAGCATCAGAGATGGTACGCATTAATGACAGAATATTAAATGATTTGTTAGGTGGTTTTGACAGAAAACACTTTAAAGATAACGTGCTTCATAGTACCCTTAAAGGGGCACTGATCTAACGCAATTCCCCGGGACTGGTTGTTGCCTTTGTTATTGTTTTTTCCCAGTGAGTACCCGGATGTATAGCAGAAATCTAGACTAGTTCGCGACCTCTGCTGCGCCATTCGTAAGGGCATTAGTCACTTTTATGGGTAGTAATAAGGGCGTATGGTCACATTGATCAACAAAATGAAATACGGTTTTTGAGATAATAAGGAAATGTAGGTATCTTTGCGGGTAGCATCAGTAATGGTGACGAAATTTTGATAAGTCACTTGCTTGGTAATTTTGCGATTTTCGTTTACACAATTTTGACTTGCAACACAAAGTAAATATTTCACCTGAGCATTGCTTTTTTTTATAGTGTGTATATTTTTTTACTGTCAAAATGCGTAACATTTTTCAAATTTATTAAACGCCTAAATATTCAGTTATTTTACAAAGTGACTGAAAAACATTTCCATCTGTATTATTATGATAACGAATTCCAAACATTTTGATGTTTAATGTCATCACCAAGAGACTGAAAATGTTACGTTGAAAAGTACATTTCTATGTTGTTTGGCTTCTAATCCAACATAATAATCTGTTGTGATGTTGTTAGGCCCTTTTGATCGTCTTAATCAATTTTAGTCAATCTGAAGAATTTCCCAACCTAGACGTAGAGGAACAAGAACGAATCGGTTCAATGCTACAGCGAATGAAGGAAAACAAAATGCAAATACCATAATTACAACCTACCAAATTTATGTGTATAAATTTTGGGCAGCTTCCTTGTTCGAGGAATGTATCCGTGAATATCCACACAAAGGAACAATATCCCACTCGTCTGCAGCTGTACAAAGAAACTTATTCGATGTCACGTGTCTCTGTAACAATCAAATATTTTTAAAGATATATATCGTTTCGGGATATTATAACCCGTGGTCCTTTCTCAACTGATCACTTAGATTGTTTCAGGTGTTTCACATAGGTGTCAAGTCTCAAGGGTCGGCTGAAAGGTTCCATTATCGTTGTCTGTAACCACTTCTTCCTGCTCTCACAACGTTTTTGTGTGAAGAATAAATGCAACTGAAAAATTTAAAGCAATAAAATGAACATGATTATCCCGGCAGTGACAAGTGCAATTATTTGAACACTACAACATTTTGCTTTGAAATGCATGAGAAGGTGTAACCCCTGTAGAATCGCTGTACTGACCTAATTGATTTATTGCAAAGGATACATGAATATTATTCAGACTGGTACCTGGTGTAGAACGTCAACATTGTCAATAAATCCATACTTAATAAACCACACTCCTGTGTATAATTATGAAAAGTACCAAATCATAAAAATGATACATAAGTTCTGGTTTATAATCCCTCTAGCCCCATGAATCATGTTGAAACCAAAAACCAAAATATTTTGAAAACATAATAAAATGTGCCATCGCTCTCTATATTCATGATATTTAGAAAACAAATATTGAAAACTCTCAAGATTGCGTGACTATTCAATTGCATGTAGAGATGATATATCATTGGAAGATATTTTGCACACTTCGATGACACCAGCAACCCTGTTCAGTGTTAGAAATTGGCACTAGTCCAATAGTCCTTGCCGAACTGCCCAATAGCTAAGGTATCATAAGGACTAATAGAAATTTGCCATTTTTGAAGGTTTTGTGGACTAAAAATGTTAGTTTCCATCGCTACTGTTGTTTTACTAACATTGCAGGGAATTGTTTTGCTAGTGTATCTTGCAAATATTGACTCGTTTAACTGTTCCATAGCATAGCTGTTCCTGAAGCAATCTTCATGTTATACATTTTATTTAATTGTGCCACATATAACCCATGATATCGCAGATATTGCGTGTACAAACTATAAATCAGCTTTAGAAACTAACATTTTTAGTCTATAAGTCAGCAAAACCCTTAGAAATGGCAAATTTCTACTGGTCCGTATGATACCTTATGTTTTGGGCAGTTTAGCAAGGGCTGCAGGACTAGTGCCAAATTCTAACCCTTCAAATAAAAACTGCTCTGTGTATTATAACACTGCATTAGATAATACATGTTATAAGTAACAGCATCTTTTTGACAAGTGCATATGTATTTACTTTTTTATGTTTGGCAAATACTATGTAATTGAAGTGTTTTTGGCCTACAGCAGGCACAGTACTGATCCTATATTTGATATTGGCATTATCATTTCCCTTTTTACAGGGAGAAGAGGCTGCCGATGCTCCTGTGAAGGAGACACTCACACAATCATGACCAGATCCTGATTACAGATGCGTACATCTGCACTTGTGATTGTGACTAAAGACTCCCAGCCAGATGCCATTCTTTACCAAGTGTCCCAGGTGACATCCCCTCTGTAAGGAATGGCTGAAATGGAGAGGATGAACAACCACCGACGGGGCCGTCAGGGCCCACGATATGAAAATGATTTCACGCCGGGTACAGTGAACTCAAGACCAACCAAGCAGCTTGAGTTTCACCAGGCAATGACAGACTTTAAGAGGATGTTCCCCACTATGGATGAGGAAGTCATTGAGGCAGTCCTCCGAGCCAATAACGGAATTGTTGATGCCACTATAGATCAGCTTCTCACCATGAATGTTGACAATGAGGTTTTCCCTGAAGACTTGCAGTGGGAGGATGAGGCGGCCTTGGCTGCTGGACTGGTAAATATAAATTAAAGTGACATCTTGTGGATTGATCCAGTTTAATTTGTATCATTTTTGTAGAAAGTATGAAATTGGAACATGAATTGTTGAATATGTATAAGGGTAGCCTATAACTTTAGGTACATGAATAATTTGGATGAATTTATCAAGTACCATATTTGACGTAATAAGTGCCCTGCTCTAATAAGCGGCCTGCTATAATAAGCGCCCACGGCGATATTTGCTAATATATTGGCTAGTGAACAATCCCAATTAGCACCCCTTCCGATTGATCAATGTACACAAGACTTATTTATTGGTGTATAATACACACTCGTTTGTTACATGCACCCTTAATTATGGGCAATTAAATTCTGGAAAATATATCTGTTGTGTATAATACGCACAGACTTTTCTTTTGTATCATTTGTATCAGGCTGTCAGCATAAACCACAAAATTTACAATCTTCAACTCTATTTTTTCTCTCACCAAAATTATATTCCAATAAGAGCCCCCTAGTTCTAATTTTGAGAGCGCCCTGGGCGCTTATTACGTCGAATACGGTATTCCAAATTCCATGGGAAATCAAATTGAGAAGAATTCTTTTTTCTTCAAACCTATAACATTGAATTGAGCATGTTCTCTGCTGTTATGTTCATAATGTTAAACTTTAAACATTAAAGCCTCTTCCTCTTTATCATGTTTATTGGTCAGGTTATCAGGGAAATACAAGTCACCCAGTGTCCGCAATAACTGCTTGCCCGCGTGCCGGGGGCTGGTAACTTTCTGTCGAGCTGCATGAAGTGTTCCTCCACCTGCCTGACTATCTGGCAGATACTTTTAAGACTAGTTAAGGATTCAGTTTTATTATAAGTCCTTGTAGATTCTCAATAACTGTTTGCAATATTTCAACTGAATCAAGACATGATTTGTCTCTAAATTTTTGCGATTTTCAATATTAATAATGCCAGAATGCGGCAGGTAACTTTGAAGATGGGCAGGCAACACTTATGCCATGGGTCACCCGCCTGACTGTTTCGAACACTGTACATGCTGTAGTCTCCTCCAGGAAATCATTTCACACATGGTAGATCTGGAACATGTAGAACAGCAATGGAATAATTTAGTTGGCAAAATTGTCCTACCTACATTTTGATAAACAATTTCATATTTATTGCTTTAAGCTATATCTACCAATAATCATGATAATGTACATTGTACTATGACCATTGTTTTGTGACTTAAATTCTGTTCTATGCTGTTCTAGCATGGTGTTGACACTCAAGATTTATCTGAAATAAAGAAGCAATAAAATAAGACATGTTCAAAGATGAGACCACATATTCAGTTTTCAAGCCTTTTGATTCAATTGTGTTTGTGCGCATGAAATATATAAATTTGCTTGAAATAGCCTGGACTTTTATAGTCAGTTAGCTCTCTTGCCTCGGGAAGATGATCTACGGTATTTCATGTATATAAACACCTTGATTTTTGCATCGCAGCCATTCCCTCTCGAACAAGATTGCCTGCCACCGAAGAGATCATTCTCTGAGAAAGCTCCACTGCCAGACCCTATTGGGGAATCCCCACCCCCCTACTCTGAAGCTGTACAGTCCCCACAGATGCTGATATCCCCCAGTATAAGAAAGACAGTCAAATCTAGTCCACCCAACCCGCCCATAGCAAACTTACTGGATTTAGGCATTGATGAACTGGCCTTGTCCAATACTGAACCAAAGACTCCCATATCATCTTGGAGCAGTCCTGTTGCGTCAGCCAATCCTTCATGGCATGGTCCAATTGCCTCGAGCGGATCCAATTGGAGTCACTCTGGAGCCACAGAGAAATCATCTTGGAAAGGTCCGTCATCAGCCTTAGCTAGTCGCTCATGGAGTATGCACGGCCCAGCTGATCACACGTCTCGGAAGCTCCACGGCCGGAGTCTCAGTATGGGTAGTGCTACGAAGAAAGCGTCCTATCGGAACTGGAACCCACCAATGCTGGGCCGACTGCCCGATGACTTCCTCCGACTGTCTCCCACTGTGTCTCCCCAGAGATCCCCATCGTCAGTGACAACCACGGAGAAGTCTCAGCACAGGAGAACAGCGTCACAGCCAAGGGTATGTACAGAGAATGACAGTGTTTAATGTTGTAGCTATCCTGGGGGCTAGTGCAATGTCCATCTTGCTGGTGTCCATATACATGCTCTATGCTACCTCTACTGGAACTAGTAATAGAAGTATACTCCAGCCAATCAGATGTCAACTTTCTAACAGTATTTGGCGTCATTGAATACTGTTAGAATATTAACTTGATAATTTTTACAGCTGGTTCATCATATGGTTCGTGGCAAGGGGAAGTGGGAAAATTGTTGTGAACCTTCTAGTGCCTCACAGGCAGCTTGGGTTGCATACTTCCCAGGGAGCTGAGAATGATTGTTGATTGCACATTGATCCATTGACCAGGGTGATAACATTGCTTTGAGCATGCCTCTGGCCTGTGTGGTGAGGATATATGCACAATATATATGGCCTATTGGCGGCTTGTTTTGGTCTTCAAAATATCATGATATGTTAACAGTGCTTAATGTATGAATACTGTGACATGTTTGACCCAGGGCACCGTGATGTTTTGTTTTGTTAGTTTGTTTGTTTGTTTGTTGCATGTAATACATGTAAGAAAAGATATATGGTATGATTTATGATTTGTCAGTCAATTCCATGATACAGATCCCAACAAAATTGAACAATTAACTATGAACATGATGAGGTTTGACAATATGATTATCATTTCTATGTTGATGGATGTATTGTTAATACTATTGTGAAATCACCCCAAGACTCATATCAGTTACTCATTCTCTGTTTCAGATTCTGTCCAATCACAGTCATCAGTTTAGTTCCGACATGTTACAAGAGAGAATCAAGGAAAACGAGCGTCGGCGCCGCATGGCTTCCAGTGACCTTGACCCCGAGCTGGCTCAGTACTTGGAGGACGAGCGGCTTGCCCTGATGTTTCAGAACAGTGAGTTCCTGCAGGAGCTTCGGGACAACGAGGACTTCATGAACACACTGGAGCGAGGTGAGTTGCCTACTTTGTGGTATTGGAAAATACTTTCTGCCTTTCAATTGCCAGGAAAATAAATCTTTTGTCATGGCTGTGGTAGAATCAACACCCTGTGTACATGTAGACGCTGGCTCTTTTAGGATCATATATGGTATCATTTACCATGAGGCTCAGCCCTTCATGAGGGGATGGGGGAGGGGCGAGGGGCGAGGGGCGAAATAGGCACCTTCTACTTGTACTATTACAATCATGTGTTTACAATATGTGACCTGACTGTGTGACATTGTACCCCAGCAGTGTGAATCATACCCCGGCTGTGTGAATCATACCTCAGCTGTGTGAATTGTAGCTGGTAGTATGAATAGTACCCCGGCGGTGTGAACGGTACCCCGGCGGTGTGAACGGTACCCCGTCGGTGTGAATCATACCCCAAAGGTGTGAATCATACATAGATTGTGTGGATCGTACCCAGACGGTGTGAATTGTACCCCGTCGATGTGAATCGTATCCCCATTGTGTGAACAGTAACCCAACGGTGTGAATTGTTCCCTGATGGAGTGAATCATACCCCAGTGGTGTGAACTGTTTCCCCGCGGTGTGAACGGCACTCCGTAGGCGTAAATTGTACCCCAGTGGTGTAAATCATACACCAGCAATGTGAATTGTACCCTGGCAGTGTGAATGATGGGATTTAAAAAGAGAGAAAAATAGTCCCAGAAAATTCTTGAAAAAAATAATTATGCTTCAGACTGTTGAACATGTTGAAAGAAAAGAAATTGTCTGCCACAAAAATTACATTGTTCACTATTGTTGGTGTTTTTCTTTAAAAAATATTCAGACTCATAGTTTTAATTAAGAACATATCAGGTTTCACAGCTGTTGCTGAAAACATATCTAATCTTCAGACAATCCATGTAATACTGTTCCATTCCATGTTTTGGAGGGGGGCAGGGTTGGCCCACTGTGCAGAGTTGCGTCCCTTGCGCACGCCAGAAACCTATGATTGTGGGTTAGAATCCCTGTTCGCTCTGATTATGTTTCTAGGTTTGTCAGCACGATTCCTGTTCTTGTTGGTTTCACCAAAGTGGTAAACGTCTGAGACCTGCATCACTTCGGGCTTTCCTCCCACATTAAGCATGTTAAGCTGACACGCCGTGATATAACTGGAATAATGTTAAAGCGATGTTAAAACCCAACTTACTCACTCCATGTTTGGAAACATCTGCCTTCAGTATGTTCAGGCTTTCCTCGCATAGTAAGTCTTGTTTTAAAGGGCAAGTAAAGTGAAAAAGTTATTCCTATTTTTTTTTGGCAATTATAAATTTTTCAAGATACATTTAGTCAATTTCCGAGAGAGAAATATTCATAGAAATGTATTTAAATGTCCAGGTGAAAGTGATGGAATCCAACCCTCTGTAATCAGCTTTAAAAACAAACCTGTTTGGGGGTGTGGCCTAAAGCTACCGTTGCACCGGTGACAACTGTTTTCATTGGCTGTCATGTTTGCCTTGTTTATCTATCATGATCATGATGATACATATCCTACAAAAATATCAACATTCCATACCTTGTTGAATGTGTGAAACGACCCTTGATCTTGACATTGTGAACATTTAGGAAAACAATTAGTAATCGGTAATTAGCATATTATTACTAACATACTGTTTGGGTAATAAAACACCAGACTTTACTTGCCCATGCAGCCCATGAGATAAAAAACAGAGGGTGAAATTAGGTGCATTCCCAGTGGGGTGATGATCATGATGATACAATATGTTTTCAGATCGTATGAATGCAGTTGCGTTCGAGCCAGCGGTGACACCAGTCAGTCCTGACAGGGATGGTAGGAAGAATAATTATCTTGTAACTGGGAATATCAATGTAGTCACCTCTTTCCTTTCTATCAAGGAGGGGTAGCCTAGTGGCTAAAGTGTTTGCTCTTCATGCTGAAGACCCGTGATTTTACTGCCCACGTGGGTATAATGTGTTAAGCTCATTTCTGGTGTCCCCTCCGCCAAAATATTGCTAAAAGCTGATATGTCAAGAGCAACAAGTGTCACATTGTTCCTGAACAGTGTTTATCAATACTTATCCTGAGCAGGATAACAGTATTTAGGGCATGAATTTGAAGAGTTTCAGAAGCAGTATAGCTGTGCAGAGTTGCTTCCCTTGGCCATGCAGTATCCCTGTGGTCATGGGTTCGAATCCTGGTTAGCACTGATTGTATTTGTCACATTGAAATACTGATCAGATCTGTGTCAACCAAAACTCACTCACTCACTCATTCAAGAGCTGATGTCCTATATGTTTTCAACATTCAGACTTGTATCATTGTGTACTGTGGGACCGCCTCCATGGTCTTGTTGTAGAGCGTCTACCCGGAGAGTGGAAGGTATGAGGTCCGTTTGGTGTCATACCAAAAGCCGTTAAAAGATGGTACTTGTTGTTACCCTATCTGGTGCTTGGCTTTAAGGGACTAAAATGTATACTCTGCTGAGTGGGGTGTTCATGTTAAACTGCGACATGGTTTCTCAGTGGGCTAGGACTATAAAATCGGCATCAATCCGAAATAGTACAAGCAGCCACACCATCACGTGCATGCATGTCGCAATAATCTTGGATGCGATGTTAAACCCCATTCACCTACCTTGTGTACTGCGGACTCGCATCACCTCCCTCACTCTCACTTGCAGCCATGATGGAGGGCTATGGCGATGACAGGGACGACACTCTAGAGGCGTTTCCGTTCAGCCAGCAGCTTCCGAAGGGGGATGATGAGGATGCAGAACTCCGGCGGAAACTCAAACACATGGGTAAAGGTGGGTAACAAAATGTCCAGTTCACATCAACAGCATTAGAAATTGGCACTAGTCCTATAGTCCTTGCCAAACTGCCCAATAGTTAAGGTGTCATAAAAATGCAGTATCACTTTTACAATGTTGATATTAGCCTTAGTAAAGTACCTCTGGGGTCTAGCGGATAAAGTGCAGGGAGCAGAAGGTTGGGGGTTTGATCCCCAGCTGGCTGCATCATACAAAAGATGTTAAAAGATGGAACTTGTTAGTCTGACTGGCGCTTGGTAAAAGGGGTATGAAGCAGGACTGGTCCGGTCTAATACAAGTATGAACAGGCACATAAAGACACGCATTCATGTCGCTAAAAGTGCAATAGTCATTAACGAGGTGTTAAACCCTATTTCACATCACCTTGTATTAGTCATGACAGCTTTACATCATCACTTGACGTATAATTTGAGACTTTTGCCGCTTGTTTAATCGAGTAACATTTCTGACTCTAGTATTGCTAAAAGAAATTTAGTCCAGTTCTCAGGCACCGCCCGCATCATCATTAAGTCTGCCGCACGTTTCGTTTTTAAATCCTAATACTTAAAAACAATGCGATCTATTATGGCATGCAGTTACTTCCCTTTACATGCACACTGCTTTACTGTGCATCTTGTGTTATGTTCATGGCAGCAATAGGAGTTTGTGTGCTTGTTTATATAGGGAGGCCCTTTCCCAGGTGGATTGTTATTTGGTTGCATACTAGTTTGAACAAGCGAAAAAACAGACCGCATATATTTTCAAAAGTCATTGCCTGAGAACCAATTGTTTTATTTTTTTAAGCCTAAGCCTAGCTATTAACATGAAAAATGCCAACATCATATAGCAAGAGTAATCCCCAGGTTCAAGATAGTACACACGACATGTCTGGCTCAGACTGCAGCTTCAGATTGCTAGCAGTGGTTCACATACATACAGTAGGTGTATTAAATGGAGGAATATGTATCCCAGTTTACTTACATTGTAATGGATTGATATCCTTTCTATACATGCAGACATCCCTAAGTAAATGTCCAGAAACTGAAAGTTTGATGAAAGAGGTTTCCTTTATGTGGCACATGATTAGTGACACCACTTGAGACTGTTGTTTGTGGTTGTTTGCTGCTCATTGTATCTGTGCCTTGTCATGTTGTTAACTGTCTCCTTGCAGCTTCAAGGAAACAGTTTGCTTCCTTAGCAAGGAAATTCTTTTCAAGAAAGAAGAAGAAGTCTTCAAAACAAATGTATCCTTTGCTAAACACCTCGGTTTGTAGGTGAAATATTGCACACATTTTTCCACCTTTGTGACATTATGGGGAATTATTGTTCATGACAAAGGATATGTTTAACTGTTAATACTGTTGATGGAATTGTGGGTATTGTCTCAGGTGCTATAAAGTACCTCAGGGCAATGTCATTTAATGGTGCTGAAATTTGCGATCAGAGTTGACTCTTAGGCGTTCCGGTAACACACTATCGTGGGTTTGAATCAGGTTCGACCTCATTATGGGTCTCACGAAGGAGGTAATCGTCTAAGACCTGTGTCATCTCAGGCTTTCCTCCCACATCAAGATGACACCCCCGGCTATAGCTGAAGTGGCGTGACCCCCTCCCACATCAAGATGACACCCCCAGGTATAACTGAAGTGACGTGACCCCCTCCCACATCAAGATGACACCCCCAGGTATAACTGAAGTGGCGTGACCCCCTCCCACATAAAGATGACACCCCCAGGTATAACTGAAGTGACGTGACCCCCTCCCACATCAAGATGACACCCCCAGGTATAACTGAAGTGGCGTGACCCCCTCCCACATCAAGATGACACCCCCAGGTATAACTGAAGTGGCGTGACCCCCTCCCACATCAAGATGACACCCCCAGGTATAACTGAAGTGGCGTGACCCCCTCCCACATCAAGATGACACCCCCAGGTATAACTGAAGTGGCCTGACTCCCTCCCACATCAAGATGACACCCCCAGGTATAACTGAAGTGGCCTGACCCCCAGTTTGCTCTCTTCCAAAAAGGAAAAACCCCTCCATGTTCTAGTGGTAGAGTGGAAGGTCCGGGTGTTCGATTCCCGGCAGAGTCATACCGAAAGACGTTAAAAGATTGAATTGTTGTTACCCTGTCTGGCGCTCGGCATTAAGGGGCAAAACAAGGACTGGTCGGCTCGGAGTCAGTACTGTGTCTGAGTGGGGTATTCCTGTTAAACTGCAGCATGGTATCTCAATGGGCTAGCACTATAAAATCATCATTAGTCCAGACTACAACAAGCTGCCACACACACATGCGTCAACGTCTCTATATAAGTGCAATAACCTTGGACACCTCGTTAAACCCCATTTCACTTCACCTCACCCAAAAAGGAAATGTCGGTTAAAAGCTCTGAGGGTTGTACGAGGCAACTTAATACATCAGATGGTTAGACTAGTGGTTGGTTGATTGTGTGTCATCGTACCCAAATGGTGTGGAAACTTGCTCATTATATCAATCACTTGACCATGTTGACAGTTGTCCAAACTTGATTATTTAAGGCCATCATCATAGCATTGAAAATTGCTGAGTGCATCATTGAACAACAAATATACAAACATGCTTGAATCCAGACATTCATTGATGTGTCATCAACCCTTGCAGTACTTGTGCGTGTGTATAAAGTTCATAGGTCACGTCTTATCAAGTAAAAGCCTGTGAAGATTCGGGGTAGAATAATCAGCAACCCATGCTTGTCGTAAGAGGCGACTAACGGGATTGGGTGGTCAGGCTCGCTGACTTGAATGATGCATGTCATCGTATCCCAATTGCGTGGATCGATGCTCATGATGTCAATCATTTATACAGACCGCTGTCAAATAGCTGGAATATTGCTGAGTGCAGCGTTAAACAACAAACAAACAAACAAACAAACAAATCAAACAAACACCTATGCATGCTGAATTGAAAGTGTCTTGATGTTCACAGAGATGTTCGTTCACTGCACATGCAATAACTTACAAAAAAATAGAACGGAAAAAAGGTTTTCCTTAGCAAACAAGTATACGTGAGAAACTAGCGCCCTCTAGGATGAATCTGCTGGAAGAGGACTCTGATGTAGACGGAGGTAACTCTGAGAGCCATCTTGCCTATGATGAGGGTGCTGATGTCGACACGATGGTGAGTTTGTTATACCCAGTACAGTCAAGTTCCATTAATCCGACATCGTTGGTTGCGTATGATGATGTTGGATTGACGAGTATGTCGGATAAACTAAATTAAGTATGATCAATGTTCATTATCGAAAATTGGACAACTACACAATAGATTAAGTTTGCAAAAGTCGTTTTGACGTTATTCATAGTATGATGTCCTCAGATCTTCATTTATCAGTAGCGAGCACTAAGATCTGATTTTAATGAGTTTCAGGTATTCTCAAAATTATTCTAAACATGTGATTAATTCCAGTTTAAAGTATTAATTGTTAGGCAAGTTTATCTCAGCAGCCATTGCAACATACAGCCTCCAGCCTTTTCGTCTCACAATTAGGTTTGTCGGAGTGCAATACTGTCAGATTAACAGGTCTAAATAGCACGGATAAAACCGACTGGGTTTAACGAGTGTCTGATTAACAGGACTTGACTGTAGTTCTCTAAATCTGAGAGTGAGTGAGTGAATGTTGGTTATCCCTGTCAAGAATACTCCAACTATGGCATGACGGCCTGTAAATCATTGAGCGCATGGACAGACAAACCCGTGAGAAAGCGCAATACCATAAGGGTAGAATATTACTCAATCACAGAGCCAGATCAATCTGAGGCAGGTCACAAGAAATGACTTTTGCAAGCTTCAATTCTGTTATTCCTGAAATTAAATGGAGATAACATTCACTGAATAATCTCCCTTGAGACTGTCACAAGAAATGACTTTTGCAAGCTTCAATTCTGTTATTCCTGAAATTAAATGGAGATAACATTCACTGAATAATCTCCCTTGAGACTGTCACAAGAAATGACTTTTGCAAGATTCAATTCTGTTATTCCTGAAATTAAATGGAGATAACATTCACTGAATAATCTCCCTTGAGACTGTCACAAGAAATGACTTTTGCAAGATTCAATTCTGTTATTCCTGAAATTAAATGGAGATAACATTCACTGAATAATCTCCCTTGAGACTGTCACAAGAAATGACTTTTGCAAGATTCAATTCTGTTATTCCTGAAATTAAATGGAGATAACATTCACTGAATAATCTCCCTTGAGACTGTCACAAGAAATGACTTTTGCAAGATTCAATTCTGTTATTCCTGAAATTAAATGGAGATAACATTCACTGAATAATCTCCCTTGAGACTGTCACAAGAAATGACTTTTGCAAGATTCAATTCTGTTATTCCTGAAATTAAATGGAGATAACATTCACTGAATAATCTCCCTTGAGACTGTCACAAGAAATGACTTTTGCAAGCTTCAATTCTGTTATTCCTGAAATTAAATGGAGATAACATTCACTGAATAATCTCCCTTGAGACTGTCACAAGAAATGACTTTTGCAAGATTCAATTCTGTTATTCCTGAAATTAAATGGAGATAACATTCACTGAATAATCTCCCTTGAGACTGTCACAAGAAATGACTTTTGCAAGCTTCAATTCTGTTATTCCTGAAATTAAATGGAGATAACATTCATTGAATAATCTCCCTTGAGACTGTCACAAGAAATGACTTTTGCAAGATTCAATTCTGTTATTCCTGAAATTAAATGGAGATAACATTCACTAATAATCTCCCTTGAGACTGTCACAAGAAATGACTTTTGCAAGATTCAATTCTGTTATTCCTGAAATTAAATGGAGATAACATTCACTAATAATCTCCCTTGAGACTGTCACAAGAAATGACTTTTGCAAGCTTCAGTTCTATTGTTCCTGAGTAAATGGAGATAACATTCACTGAATAATCTCCCTTGAGACTGTCACAAGAAATAACTTTTGCAAGCTTCAGTTCTATTGTTCCTCCTCCATGATATTGCTGGAATATTGCTAAAAGCGGCGTAAAACCATACTCACTCACTCACTCTATTGTTCCTGAAACTAAATGGAGATAAAATTCACTGAATATTCAAGGATGATCTCAGCCTAATAATACCTTTATGCTTCCAGTCTCTCCCACCAGCTTCAGTGCCAAGAATTCGGACTGTACAACGCCCACCGTACCACCCGGACACCATCATCACATACAACCCCGACAGCTCACACAGGGTGTAGCGGGCAGCAAGCTGTAGCAGCACGCAGTTGTCTCCCTTAGATAATTCAGCATTGCCGACAAGGTCCTTGAGTTATTGTTTACAGACAGTGTTTAGTAGTGTCCTCATGAAAAGTGTTTCAAGTTTGTTTCATGTTTGTCAGTGTATGATGCTCTTGTTCATATACAGCTATCAATGTACTATTTGTAAATATGTAAATCACAATTCTTCACCAGCAAGACCTGTTAAATTATAACTGTCTTGCTTTGATTTACAAGTTATGCTACCAAGGAATGAGATGTGTCTCGAAAAATTTTCACAATAATAATTTCACATCATACTCAGTGTAAATGGTATGGAAATAATTTTTAAGATGTCTTGTAAGACATATAAACTTTCAATCTTTTAAAACTATAGAATAAAGACATAGAATGGTTAATAAAAACAATTATTAAGATGATAAATGGAGGAAAAATGAAAATGTCAGGCATATGGGCTGTGGGAGTTGAAATTATCTCAGTTACCATGGTTACCTGTACTATTTTTAGCAAGAAGAAAAGTGTGGAATACCAAGTTGAGATTAGTAATTTTTTAGATGAAAACATCACAGTTGACCGTGATAGTAGACTATGGCAGGCTCCCAGTCTGCTGTACGGTAGTTTCGTCGTTCAGGGTATTGACATATCAGTGTTGCCAGTATGGCGCTCGTGTTGTACGCTGTCACATCAAGGCTGTTTTTTGCTTCCTGCATATGTATATAGTTGCATGTAGTGAGAAGTGTTGAAGTTACTGGAGACACGTTAGTATTGATTGTAGTGAGGATGTGTTGACTGAGTAGAACTCAATTAAAGTTCATCTGGGCTGAGAGTGAATTGATGGTCGTTGAGGCTGTGAACAGTTATGGAGTCTTAGGGAGGAACATTTATCCAACAGTCATGAATTTGGAGTTGTAAAATTTGTGAGAAATTGTGTTGTGATCAAATTTGTTTTCAATGAATGCCATACGAAGGTGACATGATAATCACTGATAATACTGAAAGAAAATCATCGAGGTGTTTTTGATTTAGTAAAACACGAACAAATGGTGAAATGACATTTTGGTTTTTGTCGTGTCATAACGTAAGGCATTATTGGACGTCACCTACGCTATTTTACTACTATTTACTCTGCCAAAATACATGACAAGTGGATGAACTACAGCAGCGGTTGTTATCAGTTTGTGTTGTGGAACTATTACCATATGAAGATGATGATTGAAGAAAAACAAGGGGAAAAGGTGGGATTCTAATCCAAAATATATTTTTTGTGGAGGTCCATTGTTTAGATGACCTTAAACCAATGCAAAAGTGTAAGATTACAGTGTTTCGTAATCAAATTGTCCCATGTAAAGCTCTGAATTCAAGTTTCTTTTACAAGAAACTGAATAAAAAAAATATGTCTTTATCACTGCTGAGTGATATTCAAAGCCGATGCAAATTGCTACCACTTCGGTTTAAGTCTGTACTTAGATAGGCTTGGAAGCAAGGTTCAGTGTTGCTCCGAGGCCATCAATCCCAATCCTCCTACGACATGGAGGACTCGTAATAAGCGGTCACAAGAAATAAACAGTTCCTCCACAGCTGTTCAACGAGTACTAATAAAAATGAATATCACATAGTTTTATTGATTTGTTCAGTCGTCCAAATTGGAATAAAACAAGTCCCCATTCAACTTATATGAAGTTTCAACGTAAAATGTGTTGAAGCCAATTAAATAATTTAATTTGACATCATACACTGTATGCACTGTATGCACTGTTTGGCCGTATTGAAATGCCCTATATATGTTTCCTCCAAATTGCCTGCCGTGGACACTTTGGTTAAAGTCCTAGATAAGTCCCTTATGTAACAATTCTGTTTGATACATTCTTCAAATGTTTTATTCGTCTTGACCGAAACGAGGACATTTCTCATGTCGGGGTTATGATAAAATCCTTCTTTTATCCTGAAAATATGTTGAATAACAGTTCATTGCCTGTTTTACTTGGGAAATAAAATACATTTGCGGGTCATTTGTCAGTATGGGTGTGGACAGTGGGACGCAGTACTTCATTCCTACAGGGCCCAGTCACCTCGGAGCAACACTGCCAGGTCATTACGAAACATATGCAAGTGTAGTTACCTAATTCATACTGTAACAAACTGTTTTATTATTCATGTTAATTGTTCTTAATAATTTCTTTGATATTATTTTATGAGGCAAATACCTTGGGCAGATGTTGAGTTTTCTACAGTTGTACAGACGGTATCACAGTGTAAATTTTAGTTACAGAGTGGGAATACATACTGGATAGATGTATGTTAGAGAAGTCATGTAGTTACCATGTTACTGTTTTAAGAGTCTTCTTTTGAGACAGCTTACTAGGGCAGGTGCCCTGCGTTGATAGACTTTGTGGTTCCAACCATCTCAAACAGTTTAGGCGTTGTAGTCTACTTTAAACATCGTCCACCATAGTTGTTGGACTCATGTGGTGAAGCATCTTTTCAGTATCATTATGTTAATTTGCAAGTTGTGACATCAGTCTCTCAAGATTACCGATAAGTTTACTCCTTAAAGGGCATCTTCCCGAGGCAAGGGAGTTAACTGACTGTAAAAGTCCAGTTTCCACCCCTGCCGAACTGGGCTGGAATTCTGGAGTTACATTTTGTTTGAACTTATGAGTCTTTGCATAGACCATTCAAAAATGGGGAAACGAACTAGACATCCGGTTTGTAAGCTACCCAGATTTCAACATGCAGAAGTTGGTCGACTGCAGGTTTTGCAAAGCATATGTACCGCCAACAATCAACCATTCAATTTAAATTGATCTGCAAGAGTGGTTCTGTGATAAGAGAGATTGAGATGGCAACACCATTTCTCAGCCGAAACTATGGTGGTGATTGAGTCCAGGGTGTTTATCGTTATACTGGAAGAATGGAGATAATATGCCCTGGAGGATAGAGGATGATCCTCTCATGCCTGGACATTGACAAAGTGCACATACGATCAGACACATGACAAACGTCAGGAAATCATTCACCTCTCTTATAGGTCATCCATCCTTGTGTATTCAGGGCGTTATCTCTCTGTTCTGTAATGATAATTAACCTGGACCCGTTCACCACCAACGAGAAGTTGATATCGTTGTTTCAGACTCCGTCTCCGTCTCCGTCTCAATCTCTGTCTCCTATCCCTGTTTCAACCCAGAATTTCTCTTGCTCTTGAGATAAATTCCTTTGGATGGCTATTTTTAGTGTCGTTTCATTCAAATCAGGGTCAAAACAAAGCTGTTGTTGTGAATGGTTCCAGGGTTTTTATCAAAATTAAATAGAAATATAATCTACTGGATAATCGAGGACACCAGTAGTCAAGATAGTTGGAATCCCAACGTAGTGTATATTTTGCTGGGCTTTGTGATGTAAATACTTGTACATCTAGTTGTGTAATTATATCTGTATGTATCTGTGTGTGTGCAGGGTCCTCGATACACCCTGCTCTGGCACAGGGGTACAGTCCGAGCTGGAGTATTGCAATCAGTGTACAATCTAATTAAAATCAGATCTTAGTTCTCGCTACCGCTGAACAAAGATCTGAGGACATCCCATTACAGGTCAAGTCATAAAGACCTTCATCTGACCAATCAGACATTCACTTACCAGATCGGGAAAGTGACAGTCAGAATGTGTTTTCCTACCATGCAACCTCAAAACGTTTAACACGGGTTACTCGAACGATAGTTACAGGCTTTACGACTGAATCCGTAGAAATCATCATCTGTCTGTTGCTTCAATGGGATAAACATTCGAGACTTTGTGTTGCCCGTGGGAAGTGCTGCCATACTATCTAGGCCATCCATTAGCTATTCCAGAATGTACTTTTGTTCAGTTTTCAATTTTTTAATCGAGAATTTGTCAAAATATGTCTAGAAGCGTAGTCGCCAGTTTGATACTTGTGCCAAAAAAGCTGCCTTCTGATTGGCTATTGTCGACTTCTTGTCTGTTATTCCATTGGTCGGTCCAAGTTCGCGAAAGGTGAGTCTGATGTGACCCTTAAGGGGATGTCTTCAGATCTTTGTTTAGCGGTAGCGAGATCTAAGATCTGATTTTAATGAGATTGAATCAGTGTAGTACTTGATAACCTGAGTCGAGATGTCCCGGCTACCCATACCTCGTGTCTGTGTTCACTTACTTCCCTCTGAGCACTGGTATTAAGAATATACTGTTTTATGACATATACCGTTGTTATTCTCTGCAGTCAATATGGACAGAATATTGATTTGTTCTTCTATTTGATAAACGAAAAATCTTATATTGGAAATGTTTGTGTCACAATATGAAAATTTCAAGAAATAGATAAACAGTTATAAAAAATAGAAATTTTGGTATCCCAGAATGAAAAGTTATAACGTTTTTATACAAAATTAAGAATTGGAACTTTAGTGTCCGAACTGGAAGTTGAATTAAACATGTTAAATTTAAAACTTATATCCGCCACAGTGGCAAAAAAAATTAGGAATTTCATGACAATTTTGTTTATTTAGTTATTGTTTTATATGAATTATTAATAATTGTAATATTTGTTCTGTTGTGAGCATTATATTTTTAGATGAAATAGCAATTTGTTTTGTTGTACTTTGTATTGTAGAACTTATTTGTTTATGTTTGACCGATCATGATATTTGTCATATAGGGCAGCCAGCGTTCAGGGGTGGCATGCATACCTGGAGCCAAGTACAGCAAATACTATCTACCTGAGGAGTAATCATAGTGTGTGTAGACAGCCCATCTTACCTGTAATACTCCTCCCAGAGCTTCATTTACAAATTTCATGGCTTCTCTATTTTAGCCTTTTTTTATCATAGAAATTGTTTTTTTAATACCTCACTATTTAATTTCATACTTTTAATGCTGATGGCTATTTTATGTTTTTAGCTTTTTTTTATGGTCTCATGATGATATTGTTTTTTAATTTCAAATGGGTATGGTCTTGTTCCTGGAACAAAATGTCTTCATCGCACAATGAACCAGCCACAATACCAATCTGACTGTGGTGTGGAAAATTTGATGAATGTTACGATAATCATGTTAAATCGATAAAATATTTAATTGGTATTTAGAAGTTGACACAAAATGAAGACATGAAACTTTATAACTTTTTAATTTTTTGTCACGTTTCAGGGCTATGCCCCTTCATCAGTTGAATGACTTAACTAGTATGTCATATATATATATGTACAAACAAATTATGTTTACATGGGAAAAGATAATCATGTGTGTTAATCTTTAAGACCCTCATTCTCTTTGAATTTCTATAGTAGAGTCATAAAAAACTGAATTGTTATTGCAGTTATGTTTGGCAACTGTTACCATGATATATGCTTAACATTATCTACATATGCAAATCTTAGTAATGTAAATTTCAGGGCTATATTGCCAGTCACACAGAGACAGCATAATACTGTTATTCTGCAGCAGGCAATATTAAAACACTTACGAATAGCGACTTGTTATTAGTTCGTGGATAACTTGGCATGTCGTGTCTTTGGGATATTTCATTGGTTGTATATATCTTCAAGGTTTATGAAAATAATACTTTGGTTACTGATTACTAGTGGTGGGACGATACAACGATGCATCGGTGGATCCCGATTTACTTCTCAATACAAGTATCGATCACAGTCGCACACTAAGAAGAAAATATCGATTCTTACCTTAAATGTTTGCCTTAATAACTGTTCCACTAAACACTAATCAGAAGAAAGCAAATTTTGAAAACAAATATTTTCATCCATTGCACCATACTTGACACTGCGAACTGTAAAATTATCAGTGTGCCGGGTATATTTGTCCATCCTTACGCACCACAGATAAGAGCACGTGCAAGTATCGTGATACATATCGGATCGTGAGTAAGGTATCTTGATACGTATCGGATCGCACAGTTGGTGTGTCGTCCCAGCCCTACTGATTACCTTGGTGACTTATAGGAACATGTGTTCCTTTAGTTCTATGAGATGTATTCCCAGTGTTCCCAGGGGCAGTGATATTCTGTGTGGTCATTGTCATCACAGGGTGTAGCAGGGTACAAATGTCTTTTTAATGCATTTTTTAATTTTTCTTCGATGGAGAGATGTTTCATGCCTGTCCTTTCTCCCTTTGTCACAACTGATCAGGAAATCGATATTGAACTGCATTAGTTTGCTGCGTTCCTTCATCGCCCGTACGCTGTAGTCGCTTTATTTAACCAACGACTCAAGCCACAGATTGGTTGAAGAGTGAAGCCAGCAGGTGCTCCGACCAATGAGCAATCAGCTTATATCATATTAACGTAACTGTTTCTCGTTAGATAACCGTGTGCAACATGTGTCACAGAGACATGGTATTTTCTCTGTTGAATTCTTTAATGTCGGGGGGCGGTCGGGTAGCCTAGTGGTTGAAGCGTTAGATTATCAAGACGAAGACCTGGGTTCGATTCCCGACGTGGGTACAATGTGTGAAGCCCATTTCTGGTGTCCCCTGCTGTGATATTGCTGGAATATTGCTAAAAGTGGTGTAAACCCATACTCACTCACTCACTCACTCACTCACTCACTATCAGGTGTATGTATTCACGTGGGGTGGAGGAACGCAGTGTATTCAAACCTATGAAGTAATGATGATGTAGTACTCAAAACAAGTCCAAGAACAACCTCAATTGGAAGGCTGTGTGTGGCAATACATACAGCTAGGATAGACTGACAATACTCATATGAAAAAATGGGTGTTCTTCAACTTCTTTGAGTGGTGTATATATACTGGCAAGAAACAGTTCCACAGTCAGTGTAAAGTTTAAACGAGGAATTGTTAGCATTATAAGGACAGTACAATCTTGAACTATTTCCGATAAAACCATAATTCCAAAGCCCAGACATTGACTGCGTGACAAGGGATGGACAAAACTGAAGCAGCTTTTGATGATAGTTTCATTTCAACACAATGTGTATCATAGTATTCAGGGTACGTGTCTCAGGGCATCTTTCCTTTGTTTATAGTTTTCATTTGCCTCAATGTTGTGCTTCAACTTCTGTCTCCCAGCATGCTAAGGGTGTTGTATGCAAAGAAATATTAAGAGCTCACATGACCAATATGAAAACTGAACAATGTTTAGCTTAAGGTAAACAGTATTAGATGCAAGTCATGAAACTTGTCGTATTTGGTAAACATAAGAGATAATTCAGCAAAGGAATAATTCCTATTTCCGTAATGATGCAACTAATATAATAACAACATTACACAAAAGTTTTACTAATTCAAACCATTTAAAAAATTATTATCAATTGCCTATTGTCATTTTTCGCTTCTTAATAAATATGCAAGTCATGACACAGCATGGAACCTGACTTGACATGAATAAATATGCAAGTCATGACACAGCATGGAACCTGACTTGACATGAATAAATATGCAAGTCATGACACAGCATGGAACCTGACTTGACATGAATAAATATGAATAGAATGGTATATTTTTCTGTTGCAATGTTCATTATTATATAAATTCATTTCAATTATTTTACTGATTTTAATATATTTTATGATCTGATTTTTTTCCTTATATTTGCCATACACTATTATTTGATGACTCATCTTTGCTTTTTGCAGTATGAACAAGTTGCACAGCTGTCAAAGATTTAACTTGCTAAACGATACTCAGTTACCATGGCAACAGATTCATTAAGTTATTATCATTACTCTTCTGTACCATCAGTTAGTCATCCACATAGATAAAACTGTATCCCCATCATGTTGGACTGATTCCTGAGTGTACTGGAATTAACCATTATGTTCTAATGTAAGTGATAGTTTACATACCTTTGTGAACCCAGAGGCCGTGCATGTTAAGCATTTACACATTTAGTAAAAAAAACTGTAAACGTATAAAACACATATAAACATATAATAGTTTATATAATTTTTAAAAAATTGATACGACTACCAGACACAAATTGTCTCGTGAGCTATTTCCCTTCACCTAACAGGTGTGTTTAGGCCTTTCCCTTCACCTAACAGGTGTGTTTAGGCCTTTCCCTTCACCTAACAGGTGTGTTGAGGCCTTTCCCTTCACCCAACAGGTGTGTTTAGGCCTTTCCCTTCACCTAACAGGTGTGTTTAGGCCTTTCCCTTCACCTAACAGGTGTGTTTAGGCCTTTCCCTTCACCTAGCAGGTGTGTTGAGGCCTTTCCCTTCACCTAACAGGTGTGTTTAGGCCTTTCCCTTCACCTAACAGGTGTGTTTAGGCCTTTCCCTTCACCCAACAGGTGTGTTTAGGCCTTTCCCTTCACCTAACAGGTGTGTTTAGGCCTTTCCCTTCACCTAACAGGTGTGTTTAGGCCTTTCCCTTCACCTAACAGGTGTGTTTAGGCCTTTTATTTTTTAACAGGTGGTTAACAAAAAATGGCCTTAAATTCAGTGAAGCAAAAACATGAAAAGTTCCAGATTACTACTGCTAGTAATGAAAAACAAACAAGTTTTAACATGGCAAAATACCAAGGGTAATTCATTGGGTTTTTTAAGTTGTTAAAATAAAGATTATTAAAACAGTGGTGATACCCTACTTTTTAAAAGTTGTCTCCTTACTACATAAAATGTACGAAATACCATATGTGATATGTTTATAAACTAACTTGTTGATGAAATGTCTCACACTTACACAAATGTTGAAACAGGAACTGTCCAGTAAAGAAATACTAAGCCATGGTAGGATATTAGTATCAGTTCCTGCATGGATGCCATCATGTGTCGCTGGCGTAGAATCAGGTGTAGTTAGATGTATGAATACACAATGTCTTTTAGAAAGTGGTCAAATGTAACAAATGTTATATTTGGGATAACACTTTCTTAGTAAAGTACAGACCCACTCAGCCACCGAGGCTTCCACAAAATGACTTGATCTAGACTACCAGTTGTCGGACTTTCATTTTGTGGAAGCCTCGGTGGCTGAGTGGGTTAGATCGCTGACTTTGTGTGCTGGCGATTAGGTGCCTCACTCTGGCAAGTGTGGGTTCGAATTCCGGACGGGACTCAACCCAAAAAAGTACTAGAATCTGTACTTTACTAAGAAAGTGTTATCCCAAATATAACATTTGTTACATTATAGTTAGATGTAGATAGGGTAGCAGTGATAGTTTTCAACATACCATTACAGTATTTATATCCTTCATCAATAATCATTGATAATTATCTGTGTTCATCTAATCAAGCTGGCCAAATGAGTGGTTTGATTTTGTGCCGTTTTTAATAATATTCCAGTAATTTCACAGAAGGGGCGACATGAACAGGTGTCACACATTGTACCTATGAGGGGAATCGAACTCAGGGCTTTGGCGTGACGAGCAGATGCTTTCACCGATGGGCTACCCCACGTCCCTCAAATCTACTGACAAAGGATGGTGGTTCACAATGTGTGTATTTGCCTTGCTGTGACATCGCAGATGTTACCAGCTCCTCTGTCAATCATATCAAATCTTATGCACAATTAAGCTCAGCTGGAAGGGTTGGGGTAGTCTTGTTAAAGCATTGCTCATGATGCCAAAATCGTGGGTTTGAATCCCATGGTACCATGTTGTTTGCTCCTTGATCGAGTTGGAATATTGCTAAAAGCGGTGTAAGATCCTACTCACTCATCAGGCTGGATGTTGTTGATTTGAAATGGATTGTCCACCTTTAATTAGGAACTAGGCGAGAGTCTGTTGAACAGATGGTAGAAATTTAAAACATAACTTCATATATAGCATCTGTTAATTTTTTATTTCTTGGCTTTGTTCCATGTGTTTTGACTAAACAAGTTTGGAGGTGTTGGCTGTGGTTGAGGCAAGCCTGTTTCACAATATACAAACTGAATTCATCTGGAATAAATGGGGAAAATTCCAGCCATATTATGTGTCCACAGGGATTGGATAGTTCAGACTACTGTCAGTGTTCTCCCAGTATCCCGCGCCATGATATTGATGGGATATTGCTAAAACTGCCCCAAACTTACTCTGTATTCTGAACATGTTAGAATTGTTCTTCAGCAACTCATGTAAGAGGCAACTACCGGGATTGGGTGGTCAGGCTCACTGACTTGGTTGATGCATGTCATCGCATCCCAACTCCTTAGATCGACATGACGTCAATCGCTGGATTGCCTGGTCCAGATTCAATTATGTAAAGATGGCTGGAATATTTCTGAGTGTGGTGTTAAACAACAAACACACTGAAGAGTGTCTGGAGTTGAAGTATGTGATCATCATGTAGTGTCAAGCCTTTGTGACAGCACCCATGCATCAGCATTAGATTAGTATTATACAGTTGGACTCAACCTGACAGCTTCCAAACTGCCCCTACCCCTTTCTCCTTGTCTGTAACTCACTTTGGAGAAGTGTAGGTGTGAGTTATCTCCCCTGATCAGGTACTCGCGTACCCCATAGAGCCCAGGGTGTCATTAGTTGTGCCCTGGTTCAGGAAATATAAAGATGTCAGCGTTGATCAGTGTCGTCACTGGTTTTTATCAGTGTTTTGAAATAATTAAACCAGATTCTCTAACACATGAAAAATATGTGATATGATGATTTTTTTAAGATCTTTTGATGTTTGCTTATTTCTTTATCTATGAACTAAACAGGCTGTGTTGACATACAGTATGTATATTTGATCATAGTCATTTGGTCAGTGACATTTTAGCCACAAATTGAATAATACAGCGTTGCATGACCAGTACAACGTGCAGGGGTTCAGATCAGTGTGTGAGCAGAGCAAGGCGTTCATATTATGATCCCTAACACTTCAGTATGAACAGGGACAGGGGTTGTTCACCCATCTGAGGCACTGTAATTCACTGTGCAGGAGTTACGCCCCTTAGGCATGACAGGAAACTATGATCTTGACTTTGAATCCAGGTTTGTCAGCATCTTACCAATGCTTGTAGGTTTCGCCAAAGTGTCTAAGACCTGCATCACTTCAGAAGTTCTTCCCACATCAAGCTGACACGCCATGATGCAACTGACAATTTCTGACTTGCTGTTCAAAGCAGTTTTAAACCAAACTGACAAAGTTGGTCATTTGTTCTCAATCAACCATTAAAAGGTTTTGTTTGTGTCAAATATTACAAACTGTGTTCAGTTGATTAGTTGTTTGTGATCAAACATTGATAAATTGTCTCAATGGACAACATTCTTCAATAATGATTCAATCCCTTATAACTGAAGGTACGATAATCTTAGTGCAACAAATATAGCCAAGTTTATTGATATATGCTGAAAGGATAAAAACATATTCTCAAGATGGCTACCATGGGACTCAGGTGTCAGCAATGTCCGTATTACCTCTGTCATCATCACTACTTCACAGGGTGGTGTACACTACGTTCCCCCCTGAATGCATACAGACACATTGCAGTGTCGTAACCCTGGATGTCAAGTATGACATTAGGCACCTCTGAGCTGTACAGGGCTCTGTTCCACAAATAGATCTTGGCGCTGATTGTATAAGTCTGTGTCAAACTGAGGTAGTTGCGATGTGTTATGGCATCTTTGTGGAACTGGGCCCAGAGGATACTGAGCCCTATCCTTGACTGGAAGAGGCCAGGGCCCAGAGGATACTGAGCCCTATCCTTGACTGGAAGAGGCAAGGGCCCAGAGGATACTGAGCCCTATCCTTGACTGAATGAGGCCTTGGCCCAGGGGATTCTGAGCCCTATCCTTGACTGGAAGAGGCCTGGGCCCAAAGGATACTGAGCCCTATCCTTGACTGGAAGAGGCCTGGGCCCAGAGGATACTGAGCCCTATCCTTGACTGGAAGAGGCCTGGGCCCAGAGGATACTGAGCCCTATCCTTGACTGGAAGAGGCCTGGGCCCAGAGGATACTGAGCCCTATCCTTGACTGGAAGAGGCCTGGGCCCAGAGGATACTGAGCCCTATCCTTGACTGGAAGAGGCCTGGGCCCAGAGGATACTGAGCCCTATCCTTGACTGGAAGAGGCAAGGGCCCAGAGGATACTGAGCCCTATCCTTGACTGGAAGAGGCAAGGGCCCAGAGGATACTGAGCCCTATCCTTGACTGGAAGAGGCCTGGGCCCAGAGGATACTGAGCCCTATCCTTGACTGGAAGAGGCCTGGGCCCAGAGGATACTGAGCCCTATCCTTGACTGAATGAGGCCTGGGCCCAGAGGATACTGAGCCCTATCCTTGACTGGAAGAGGCCTGGGCCCAGAGGATACTGAGCCCTATCCTTGACTGGAAGAGGCAAGGGCCCAGAGGATACTGAGCCCTATCCTTGACTGGAAGAGGCCTGGGCCCAGAGGATACTGAGCCCTATCCTTGACTGGAAGAGGCCTGGGCCCAGAGGATACTAAGCCCTATCCTTGACTGGAAGAGGCAAGGGCCCAGAGGATACTGAGCCCTATCCTTGACTGGAAGAGGCAAGGGCCCAGAGGATACTGAGCCCTATCCTTGACTGGAAGAGGCAAGGGCCCAGAGGATACTGAGCCCTATCCTTGACTGGAAGAGGCCTGGGCCCAGAGGATACTAAGCCCTATCCTTGACTGGAAGAGGCAAGGGCCCAGAGGATACTGAGCCCTATCCTTGACTGGAAGAGGCAAGGGCCCAGAGGATACTGAGCCCTATCCTTGACTGGAAGAGGCAAGGGCCCAGAGGATACTGAGCCCTATCCTTGACTGAATGAGGCCTTGACCCAGAGGATACTGAGCCCTATCCTTGACTGAATGAGGCCTTGACCCAGAGGATACTGAGCCCTATCCTTGACTGGAAGAGGCCTGGGCCCAGAGGATACTGAGCCCTATCCTTGACTGGAAGAGGCAAGGGCCCAGAGGATACTGAGCCCTATCCTTGACTGGAAGAGGCAAGGGCCCAGAGGATACTGAGCCCTATCCTTGACTGAATGAGGCCTTGACCCAGAGGATACTGAGCCCTATCCTTGACTGAATGAGGCCTTGACCCAGAGGATCTTGAGCCCTATCCTTGACTGAATGAGGCCTTGACCCAGAGGATACTGAGCCCTATCCTTGACTGGAAGAGGCCTGGGCCCAGAGGATACTGAGCCCTATCCTTGACTGGAAGAGGCAAGGGCCCAGAGGATACTGAGCCCTATCCTTGACTGAAAGAGGCCTGGGCCCAGAGGATACTGAGCCCTATCCTTGACTGGAAGAGGCCTGGGCCCAGAGGATACTGAGCCCTATCCTTGACTGGAAGAGGCCTGGGCCCAGAGGATACTGAGCCCTATCCTTGACTGGAAGAGGCCGGGGCCCAGAGGATACTGAGCCCTATCCTTGACTGGAAGAGGCAAGGGCCCAGAGGATACTATTACTTTAGTTAATCTGTCATGTCATGATAGATTTACTTTAGTAATATTAAAGAATCTGGTATTCTGTAACTCTTTTGGAGTAGTATATATTTGTAAACAACTTGAAAAATAGATATGGTTATGGCTAGCGGTTGCAACAGTCAGTGAGGGAAGTACAGCAAGTCTTAGATATGGTGTAAAGGGTCCTTGTTGCCACGTTTGACCAAGAGTATTGGCTTAGTCAGTTTACAAACACTTGGTGATATTTTATATTTTGTTACATGTCTCCACTTGACATTGTATACATATTTCTTATCTAATGTATATATATGAATACATATTACCTACCTTACAGTTGCCTACCCCTTGACATTACACTATTTATATTACATGTAATGTTAGAACCTGATGGAGGAAGAGGATACCGTGTGTGGGTTCCCACCTCTATCTGTTATAGAAACTTTTATATATACATTCATATTTTCATGTTTAACAAATGTACAAGTTGGCAGTTTGTTACTTAATTCAGGTAAAAAATATCAAATGTAGTTTTTATCTTCACATTCTATTTCCTATTACATTTTGACATTTTATGAAATGTAAGTTTTCTATTAATATG